CTAAGCCCCAAACCTTAAGCCCCAAAGCCTGAAGCCTGATCTGGTCGCTCGGGTCCGTCGTCGCATCCTTGTCGCGATCAAGGCCCTGCCGTCATCGATGGCAGCTTCCAGGCTTTGGCTTATAAAGGGGTTTAGGGTTTAGGGTTTAGGGTTTACGGTTTAGGGTGGGTATCGCCGGCGAGTGGCAGTGTTGTGGTTGCTTGCTGAAGCAGCCGAGTTCAGGCCAGCTGCGCGTTCCAGAACTTGGAGGCCAGCTCATATGGAAGCTACTGTAGCTGCCTTCCACCGTCAAGCGCTAGACCGCTGGTCACCCGTCGGATTCTCATCTTTATCAGGCCATGCCCAATCTGCGCATCCCGCTCTCGATCGACCGCGTGCAACTGCTGGGTCAGGGCTTCTCCACAAAGGCAGGGCTTGCTGTGCCGGGGCTTTGGGTTTCGTTTCCGGGCTTGCGATGGCCCGGTGTTAGCTCCGTGGTTTCTGCATGTCTCAAGAAACAGCGGCAAGAAGGAATGTGAATGTGAATCGCCTCTCGCATGCAGGTATGGGTGCGACACGTTCTGCTGAACATCGACGACAAACAAATGGCATCTGAACTGCAGCTCCCAAAGTCCTCGCTTTTGGTTCTGATGCGATGGAAATTATGGCTGATCTAGCTTGGTATTGCGTGTCTCATCAACATGTCAAGCTGTCGGCGTGGCTTTTGGATTCGGATCCTTCGCCTCCTCGGCTTTTCGCTTTGAGTTCCGGGCCCGGGCCCGCACAGCCCGTTGGCCCGTTCTTTTCGAGGAAACAGATCTGGAGATGGCGAAAGATGATCTCACAGTGGTGCTGACCATGGCCTCTCGGTCGTAACCTGTACTTCCCTGCGGTCTACATGTCTTAGCAACTGTCCTGCCACAGAGCTTTGCCGCGAGCGTGCGTTGCCGCTGATTCCAGTTCAGAGTGGGAGCCGCGTCCCGCTCATCCCAGCATCCCGCAGGATCGCATGCGTCTCCGAGAAGTTCGGCCAGATCACATTGTAGCCCGTCGAAGTTGATCGCCGAGAGTTTTAACTTTTTGACTGGAGGGTGTGGGATTTTGTGTGGCGACACAAGGGGGGTCGTGCCAGATGAAAGAGGCCGAAACTTCAAAGCCAACCGAAATTATAGGAGGTCGCCTATCCAGAGAGGCAAACAGGAGACCGGACAGACTGGCGGATCAAGCTCACGATAGCGTGCTAGCAGGAAAAACCTTTATTTTGCTTGTCCTGCCAGATGCGCTTCCGTTCGCGCACACGTTCAGGCAAAGATGCTGGCGGCTTCGGCCAGGGATGCAGACGAGGACGCCAAGCTTGCGAGGGCGGTCTCAAGTGGAGTGCTGCTGTGGACTTGCCAGTATCAAGCTCAAGCTGCTGTCCATGACGTCAAGCGGTTGCAGATTTGCCAGGCTTGAGGTTGCGATCTATCGCCCTTGCACAGATGTCGGCGTTCGGAGTTGCGAAACGCAATTGTAGATGGCAGCTTGTAGGGCTTACCCAAGGCGGTGACTTGGGGGCTTCATGGCGGTGTGTCGTGTGCAGGACCTGCTTGAGGTTGACTGGGCCGCTGTTGAAGGAAAACGGGTCGAGGACGAGGCATGGACTGAATCAAGCGTGCTGAGTCGAAGTGAGAATTTCTGAAAATCCATCGAAGATACTGACAGTCAGGGTGACGAGACTGAGAAAGAGCAGTGATCGCGCTGGAAGGCCCACCTTCAGCGTCCACTCTTCGTGGGAGCCTGCGATGCTCTGCAGCCCTTCCTGGAGTCTCTCTTTCCCGACGCCCGTTACGTCGGGAAGGCTTGGATCGGATCCTGTTGGTCTGCTGTGCTGTGATGACTGCCTCTGTGTTGCGCTGGTGGTGAAGCGTCCCTCTCAGGACACAGTAGAAGGGGTGCTTTTGGATCCCGGAAGCAGCTTCACCAGCATCGTTCATGTGGCTGCCTTGGGGGAAGCTCACGAAATGGAGGTGGTGCAGTCGGCGCTGCAGCTGATGCAGGTGATCCTCAAGCGGGCTTCAAGCAAGTTAGCTGTTCCACCGGTGTGGTGCGTCACACACGGAACGCAGCATGGGACCATCCGGAGCTATCTTCATTCTGGACTCTGGGGCTTGGCACGAACATTCCGCGCCGAGGAGCCCTCTGTCAAGCTTCACTGTCTGGACCTGGACGGTACGCTGTCCAGCCCAGAGGCTCTTGCTGCTGGCTTGAAGCAGTGGCTCATTGCGCTCAAGGAGACCGTGGAGACGGAAGTGGCCATTGCAGGGTCAGCATTTGCATCACGCCTCAGCAGAAGCAAGGCCAAGCCTCAGAAGCCGCTTGAGCTGCTGATGTCCATGCGTGGGAGCCTCTCGAACTTGAGGCGCTCTTCGCAAAGCAGGGCATGCCTTTTCAGAGAAAACGTAATGAGCCACGATTCTGTGCCCTGTTTCTCGTGTGTGTTTCACATGCGACTGCATTTGTCTCGATGTGCTCCACTTCGTGAACTTGCCAGGCCAGTGGTGCAGGAGTCTCGGCGAGCACCGAAAGGGTCCGAAGTGGAGCTCCGCGTCCGAGCAGTGGGCCTGAACTTTCGAGATGTTTTGAACGTCATGGGCTCCTTGACTATCTTGACTCACACCACTCTGCCACTCTAGCAGCTGTGTGTAGGGTTGTTGAGCACGTGCGCCGGCTTTGTCTCGGACACTTCTCGACACGTGGAAGGTCTCTACCCAGGAGATCCTGGGCCGCCGGGAGCAGACTGTGCAGGACCGACTCAGTCCGACTCAGAAACTGCGGTGCTGCTCAAGTGTCGTGTTGACCTTGGGCCTTGGGCGCCTTAGGCTCTTAAGGACTTGGCCTGACCGCCGTTGAGCATTCCAGAACTCGGGGTTGTGGGCTTTGAAAGAGCCGTCGCAGGCACCCTCCTTACGACAGGCAGCGAGGTGTCCCACATCCGCCACTGGGCTGACTGCTTGCGGAACCAAGTTCTTGAGACCCAACTTGGGGTGGAATGGGAACATTGCTACAACCAAAGGACACCCTCTTTGAAAACTTGGCAAAAGCCAGAGAGACTAAGACAGCCATGATTTCGTGTCTAGGACCCTGGGATATTGTTTTTGGTGCATACGTCTGATCTATTTTTTGTGTCTGTTTGCAGTGTTTTGACAATCGAAGTTCCTGACCTGAGCACGTCCATGCTGTTATGCTGTCACCTCGCCGGCACGATAGTCTGCTTTGCTCCGTGTTGCGATCTAAAGGAAACTGGAAGAAGTCTTGCTATCAGATACTTCTATTGTTGTTTTGGTTAGTCCCATCGTGCCAGCGGTCCTTTAGAGCTACCGTTGTTTCTCCCAGCTTCAACACACTTG